CATTGAGCAACTGCTACAACAGCTAAAAGGTTCAGAAAGATACACTTTATCAATGCCAACAGCTGGAACGAGTGAGGTTCCAAACACGAGCATACGTCTCAGCAGTAGATTTCTGCAGCTCCTGCCCCCACAGGCTTACAATGAGCCCCAAGTGCTTGTGGTGGTGGATGAGCCATAGGCTTATCCATAGGCTCTGGGGCTGCACACTCTGCAGCGAGTTGATGAGCTCCAATAGCTTCTGCTCCAGCGCCTTTTGTTGTGCAGATTCTCTCCAAAAGCCCACCCACATCGTGTATTGAGAACCTGTCAATTGTGCCAAGGTCTTGCAATCACGAGGATGAAGAGTGTAACTTTTCATAACAGAGCTCAACAGATTACTGGTACAGGGAGAGCTGAGCCTTGATCCAAAAACCGAAATTGCAGGGCAGGTGAGAGCTGAATGCAATCTCTGAATGATGTCAGTCCCCCTCCCGCCTCCGTTCTTTGCCAATCGCTTGCCAAACTTCATGTGGATCGGGGGGTTGCAAGTCTGGTTCCTCCCTCAGACTCACTATTCTGGGGGATGAAGGGCCATTGTCATCGCTGTCATTTACAGTGGCTTCCACCACAGGAAGAGCCGTCGGCTCTGTTGGGACCATGAATTTCGCATATTCTTTTAGTGATTCAAAAACCAATCTCCAGGAACCCAAGAAGTCTTTAGCCACAGGTTCAGAAAGCATCTCACTGCTTTTTCCCACGCTTCTGTGTCAGAAATTGTAGCTCCATCTACTACTTCTACCTTAGGAGAGCTTAAATTGAAGCTTTCCACTTTAGTGTGATGCTTCTGCAAAATTGTTTTCATTATTTTACAAACTATCTCCTCCTCCTTTGTTATACTTGTTTCCGTTGTTCCCTGTTGCTCACCTTGGTCCTGAAAAAGTGATTCTGGCTGTGTGATGAAACATCACCACATTTCTCTCAACACTTCCACGTACAGACTTCTGTGTTGAGCCTCGCACTTCTCTCAATGCTCTCTCGGTAAGGCTTCCTTCATCTTTCTCTTGATAGATCTTCTTTCAGCACTCTCTCGATAGGTCTTCATTCAGCACTCTCCAGACTGGTCTGCCTTTTGTGACCCTGTTCAGGCACCAATCGCAGCAAGAGTGCTACGGGCTCCATTGCTGGTGCAGCAAGAGAGGCATGGAATCTCTTGGAGATGCAGAATAAAGATCTTTATTGTACATGCTTACAGTCTTTTGTACCCGAGCAACACCCTCTTGATCACATGTAGAAGCCAGGCGCCTCGTGTGTGTTGATGTGTGGCGCAAGTAGATGTTGAGCTTGTTTGCTCATCTGCAGGGTCTTTTGTTCATAACAACTTTCTTTGTCCCACAAATCATCAGCTCCAAGATTAATCACATCAAAAAGATTTTGAGCATTTGTGTGTTGCAACTGCTTTGTACCAGATCACAGTATATATATAATGATGAATGACTTCTTTACAAATAAGGACATGTAACTTTAAGAAATGTAAGCAACATCTGTCTCCAGTGCTCTCAGCAAAGCAAATTTCTAGTTTCTGTATGTTCTGTTACAGTTCCTTCAGATATAATACTTGAGGTAAAACAGGGTAAGGTAAGGCAGGAGAGCGGGGCAGAGGAGAGGGCAGAGCTGGATAAAGTAGAGTAGGGTGATTCTATTGGAAGGAACCTATACAAAGTCACTGAATTCAATTGCCTGAGCACCTTGTGGCTTGGGGTGGGGAATGGAGCTGGAAGCAATCTTCAACGATTGTAAAGTCCAGTTCCTTGAGCATTTCAGAGAGAACTGAAAGTTAAAGCGTGCTATTAAGAGGGTTGCCCAAATGCCTCGGGGGCACAGACTAGCTACAGCGCTACAGCGTTGGGCGTCGCCTACTACAATGGTGTATCAACCACCTTGCTAGGAAGCCTGTTCCAGTTGTTAACCAGCCTAACAGTAAAGATGCTTTTCCTGATAATCAGTCTGAACCTCAAGCTGTGCAGCTGGGTTCTCTTGCTGCACATCCAGTCATTGATTCTCAGGGAGAGGAGACCAGCACCTCCCTCCCTGCTTCCTCTCTTCAGGAAGTTGTAGAGAGAAAGGAGGTCACCTCTTGGCCTTCTCTTCTCCAGACTAGGCAAACTAAGTGTCCTCGGCCTCTCCTCACAGGACATGGCTTCCAGCCCTATTACCAGCTTTCCTGCCCCCCTCCAGAACACATTCACGCACCTGAACGTCCTTTTTATATTATGGAGCTCAGAACTGCATACAGATTTTGATACTGCATGAATGCCGAAGGTAGTAGGAGAATCCTCCCCTTTTAGTCAGCTTGGTTATGCAGTGATTAATGCCTTCAATCAATGCCTTCATGCAGTTTGCCCTGTTGGCTGCTGAGCACAATTCTGGCTCATGCTGTGCCTGCTTCCACCAGTACCCCCAGGTCTCTTTCTGCTGAGCTCTTCCACAGTCATCCATCTCCCAGTGATGGATTCTCTCTGTACCTGTGTGCAGCAGTATTGCATCCAGGTGCAGCACTAGAATTCAACTTCAACTTCATGCCATTGCTGATTGCCTCATGTGTCACTGTTCCTGATACTTCTTAGAAGGCCTCTTATCCCTCCAGAGAGCCAACAGCATCTCCCTGTTCTTTGTGATCTGCATACCTACTGGAGGTACATTACAGTCTTCTCTTCTCTTTGAGAAGAATGTTGAACTGGCCCTGGAACTGCATCTTGAGGAACACAATAACACTATTTGGTAGAGCAGATTCTCAGCTACAAAATACTGTTTTGTCAACACCATAATCACTGTTTGGTATGCATTTTTGCTGACCACGAAGAAGAGCCTATGTAATGCAATTATAAATTCTGTAGCAACAGATGTGACTCATTGTCACTGTCAGTACTGCTGAAGAGCCCTACCCATAGCCTCACTGTGCTCACATCTGCCGTTTTGTCTCCTTAAATGTTCAACAAATGATTAGTGTCATTAGGTGCCATTTTTCCACATGAAGGAATTCAGAGACTCACCTGTGATTCATCCACACTTCCATGTCAGACGCCATTTTGTCAGACTGCCCCTCTGCTGCCATCTGTCAAACAGCAACAAAACGTAACAGAATATTGGTGGAAAGATTCACCCTCTACTGCCATACCATCACCATCTGCCTCTGATGTCATGGGTCTACATAATAAAATAGGGGACTGTACTTTCAATGCAGCTCTCAAATATAAAAAATAATACTCATATGTAAGAAGAATGTAAGGAAACTACCAGAGCATCTCCTCTAGAGTGTCTCTTGATAGTAAAACAGTGTTGTTTACCTCAGTTATACTGTTTACAACTCACAAAATTATTCCATCAATGCAGAAACAGCTAATCCAGTGCTCCAAATTATAGTATACTTTGATAAGTACTAATTATAGATATACAACTCTTATATAATTAATTATAGAGACTCTAATAAGCATAAAAAAGACCTACTTGGGTTTTATATCCTCTACAAGGGATTTCTTCTCTGGGAGAATGGTTGAACAGTGGAATAGGCTGCCCAGGGAAATGATGGCATCAGTATCCCTTGAAGTGTTCAAGAAATGTAGAGATGTGGATTCAGGGACATGGTTAGTGGGCAATATTGGTATTAGGTGTATGGTTGGGCTAGATGATCTTAGAGGTCTTGTCCAACTTTCATGATTCTATGATTCTATGAAGCTAAATTCATTTTATTAAGGAAAACGTGGTAATGCAGCTTCCAGAATTCATGTAAAATTTCGTCTAGTCAACAGAGAATTTGGGAACAGAGTAAAGGTGGAAAGTGAAGTGGTGACAGGATTTTTTTTTTTTTTGCCCTTTGGCCATTGCCTTATGGTGAAATATGATTAAGCACAATGCATTCTAGCTTTCTACTGAAGTGAGAAACCTCTCAGCCTTGTGTTTTCTAAGCCCTCTGTCTGCTCTTCAGCTGAGGGAATGAATACAAGGTGTACAGCTTTGTGCACTAGAAAGTTTTGTTTTCTTGCAGGGCAGACCAGGGATGCAAAATTCCAGCACCAGCTTGAATCTGAATTCAGTGGTCTTCAGAGTTGTCTCATGCTTATTTTTAAAACCAACTAGAAGTACTTCATTTATTTCTCCCAATGTTAGAGAAGGATGTTTGCCCTTAGTTCCTTCTTAAAATTTTATGAAACTTTTTTTTGTTTTTTTAAGTGTCTTTTTCCTTGGTTGTTACCTGTTTTCAGTAAGAGTGATAATGAGTCTTTAGCAACAGGAACATTCTGAAGTAGATTTTTAGTAGATTTTTTTAGTAGATTTTTTTAGTTGAATTTTTCATTGCTTTGCAGCGCTTTATCTGAGAACTTACAGAGGTGGTATATGGCTGCCAAGTCTTTAAAATATTATTAAAAACCAAAACATCATAAATCATGTTAAATAAATTCATAATGTTATAAATGAATGAATAAATCCATCAATATTATTTCTAACAGCAGTCACTGTAAAGACAATTAGATGATTTCTCTTTAGACACAATAGTAATAAACTGGTAAGTATTTTATTGTTCTCTAAAATTTCAACAAACCAATTCCCTCTGGAATAACCACAGAATTAAGATCAAGTCATAGTGTAAATATAAGTAGAATTCACTGATCTTAAAAAGTAGTTTCCAGTGCTTTGGTTATTATCAAGAAAAGTACAACTGGAACATACTAGTTCAGTTCTGAATTTTAAAAAGCTGTCCAAAATATATATTTAGTGATTAGATTTAGGCTGATTAGAACATAGTATTTCTAAACAAATAATGAAGCTTTGTTTTGACTTTTCAATGGTCTAATCCTTCAATAGTCTAATCCTTCAAATATGATTCTGTGTATTTCTGTGAAAAATGTAATGGAGAAAATGAGTTTCTCTTAATCTCTTGTAAGGATTTTAACTAGCAAACTTTTCTGAAAACAGCTTGTTATTGTGTTGTGTTTTGTTTTCCTTTTAAAAACTTGAAAATTCAGCATGGGAATAAACCACGACAATGACCACCCATCCTGTGCAGATGGTCTCCATATCATGTCTGGAGAATGGATTAAAGGACAGAATCTTGGTGACGTTTCATGGTCCCGCTGCAGCAGGGAAGATCTGGAAAGATTTCTCAGGTGTATCTTTCAATAAACATAACTCATAACATGTATATTTTACAAATAGTTGCAGTAAGTAACCTGAAAAAAATTTCAGCCTTTCACTGGGAGATTGAAAAGGATCTTCCACTTGCATAGCCCATCAAAATAACTTAAAACATGCGCTAGATATTATTTGGCAGATTAAAATTTATCTATTTTTGGCAATTATTTATACTCATATGCTCAATTTTTGAATGTGTTTGTATGTATATATATGCATAAAATTTCATTTTAAAATACATTAAAGTATTTTAATATAGTATACATTGAATAAGGCTGGACAGAAAACAACTTCTAAACATTGTATAGATTTTATGATTTGTGTTGTGCCATTCAGTGCTATGCAATTTAATTACACTAATTCCTTTAAGTTACTGGGAGGTATTTGATAGAGTGTAGTATGCCTAGAAACCAAATTAAAACGCTCATTTTCATTCTTATCTCTCAAAATAGAATCTTAAATTCACAGATATATCTATTGGGAATTTACTTAAAAGATTTAAGCAGTCCTGAAGTCTGCTTTATGATTCTGAAATAGTTAATTGAAATTATATTTGAAGTTTGAATTTGTACTGAATCTCAGCAGAATTCGTATGTCCATGAACTGATGCATTAAATAGGTTTAGGCATTTTCAAATCTTTTTTTCTTCAGTTGTTGAGAAATGTTGAAGTTCTGTCTACTGGCTCAGAAATGTATGTATTTTTAAATATATATATATATATGTATATAAACTGAAATTATTCATTTAAAATATTAGTGGACGTGAAAAACAAGCTGCATAACTGTCTGTGCATTATCAATATTCCACTTGTTAATAGCTGTTTCAATTTCTATCCAAGCCATAATCAGTTAAGTAACGTTAATACTAAAATGCTATCCAGAATATTCCTGAAATTCCTAGTACTTCTGATAATTTTTCTGCAAATGTACAAATCAAAACACCATTAACTTCTTTCAAGAAAGCAGACATTAATTTATGCGGAGTCATTTCTCTGAATGACAGTTCAATTCTTACGAAAAAAAAAAAAAAAGAAATCGTGAGTCCGTATTCCTCTAATGTACAACATCTAATGCATGTATAAATCAGCATGATGATCAAGTTCTTTCAGATTGCTCAGCATATGAATCTCCATACATTGCCAGGTCAAAGGCCAGTAACTGTCTGCTACAGACGAATCCTCAAAGCCTCAATTCTGTGATTATTCCCTCCAAGCTCCCAGGGATGACATACACTGCAGATGAGCAATGTCAGATTATTTTTGGGCCAACTGCTTCATTTTGCCAAGAAATGCAGGTAAGAATGGGGATATACTTCAGAGAATATATCCACCAACTTATAATTCAGTCATTTCTGTTTATGAGGACATATCAACTTTGAAGCTCATTTGCATTGTGCTTTTCTCAGGTTAAAATAAGCATTCTCATTTGTTTATCTTGTAAGGCTTGCTTTGCATCTCAAAACATACTGAGTCAAGTTCTTCTTCATCAGTGATGTGTTCCTCGTGCTTTAGAAATAGAGAATTGCAAAGTGTGAAGTGTGAAGCCACCTCATTGCAACAAATGGAATATTTACTGTTTATTCCACTGGGACCAGATTTTGTGTGTGGGTTCAGTTTCATTATGCTTTGAGTATTGAATCTCAGAGTGAAAACAGTGGTGTTACAGTGGTGTTATCTGGGTTCTCTGAATAGACCCTGATTTGCAGCGTTGTACCCTGTGAGCTCAGGCTGAGCCATGTAGTGCCATGGCAGTAGGATTTCCAGTGCAGTTAAATAAGATTTCTCTAGCAAAAAGGAATCTCAGAGCAATAGACAGAACACATACAAAAAAAAAAAAAAAAAAAAAAAAAAAAGATATTGCCATTTAAGTTGAGCTAGAATTAAGCTATACAAAGTTTCCAAAAATTCTCCATGTACGTGGACTGTGTAACACTGATATTATTTATTATTATTTATTTATTATTATTATTTATTATTATGATGTTTGTAGTCAATTTTTTATCATCTTTCTCTTGAAATCTGATGATGTTAGATGGAAATAACGAATATGTTGAATTTACCAAATTCTTTCATTTTCCATATTATGAAGTTAATGCAAAGTTCACTATTTTAACTATGCAGATTATTCTGTCTTCCGTTAGAGAAATCAGTGCATGGAAGACTCTTTTACAACTAAAACAGTACTTCTGAAGTTGCAATATCAATTTATTACAATAATTATTTTATTGTGCATTGGCAACCACTGAATTTTCCATGAAGGCCAAACTATGTTCATTTATTACTGCATACATTTTTGCCAGTAACTGGCAGTTTACTGTGGTTACAGTTATTGTCCAGAAGCCAAGAAATGAGTGAGAAACATTCTCCTTAAAGATTCAGTTAAACTTCAGTAAATCCAACAGTTTATAGCCAAGGATTTCTTGAATCTGTTCTATTTGCTGATGGATTCATGCACTTCACCATAACTATGTAGAAGATAAATCATGAACTAAGTCAGTCTTACATTTTTTTCTCACTGGGAGTTGGTTTGACCACAGACTTCATGCAGTCTTTTTTTTAAACAAGTTCATTTCTTTTTTTGACAGCTATTCAACTAAGAAAACAACTGAATAATAATGAAAATCAGTTTTCTTAATGATATCAGAATGATAATATCAGTGGTACATTCAGAATTTCCTACAAATTCTATTATTGAACAGCACTCCATAATTATTTGCAGTCGTCTTACATCGCAGCCTCTGAGAAATACTGCATGTACCAACGATTTTCACTTGCTATCTGGAATTCCTTTTTGTGATTTAATGTCTAAAGTAAGGCACTGAAAGCACCACTGAATTTCTACTCCTGTATTTTCCTAAGTGAGCCTCACTCTTGCATGAGTAGTATCTAGACAGCATTTTTTTTCTTTTCAGCTTCATTTAAAGAACTTCTTTTTCATATCCTGAGCAAAATTTATAGAGCCTAAGAAAAGTGTGAGTGGATCTCTGGGTACAAAATTTATGTCATGTCACTGTGCTTATCTTGTAAAGGAGCCAAGTTCGCTTTTATGCCCATGATGTCTCACACAAGAATCAATTAGACCTAACATTGTTTTGCATAACAGATAGCGAGATCATGGCCCAGAAGTAGTTCTCGATGATTAAATGTAGAACTTGACAATTGAATATAATCATTGAACTATTGAATGCTGGCTTTCAAGATTAAAGTCCAGGATGTGAGTGCTATCTAGTCAGCTCCACTAAAACAATTCCTGTCATAACACAGCTGCGATCTTTTTAAAGTAGGAGACTGGTTGTATTTCATGGTGATTTTTAAGACATTTCAGGGAAAGATCACAATGAAAAGAGAGAAAGTCATGGAAACATTATAGCCCTGGAGAAATATCCATCCTCATATCCACCACCACACTGTAAACAATCTTGACTTTGCACATATACAGTACTGAAATGCTCATTTTGTATCCATTCCTTCCTTTCAGCTGGATCCTCTTTCCAGATGATTGGAAAAGTATCCCTATCACGCACACTGATCTCCCTTGCTCTTTTTAAAAGCCCTTAAAAATAAAGGAATTCTGTAACGTTGTGACTTATATGTTATATTTTATTAAATTTCAAATGTTAAAAACTCAGATTAACTACTAGCCTAATCTTTAAGAAAAAATAATTCATGTATGCTTGGCAATATTTTGTTTTGTATTGTATACACAAAAAAAGTATTTTACAGATTAGGAATAGTTTAATATCATTAGTATACTTTCATCACTTCCAGTTACTCTAATTTTCCACCTTAGTCTAATTGTAACTGCTATTTTATTGTGGTTATGATAGCCACTAAACCTCTGTGAACGTAACTATACATATTATGAATGGATAAAGCTTTCTACCTAGAGCAGTAAATTTGCATTTCAGAAGTTTGTGCTCTGAATTTTGGGTGACTGTACTACTGATAGCGGTCTCCGGATTTCTGCTGGTTTTCAAATCAGTCTCAACATGAAGCACTGCAGATTTCTAGAGAAGGTCTTGTAGTATGCATCATTCTCAAATTCACGTATTCTTAATAGAAGTATTGGTTTTTTTTTTTCAAGAGAAGAAAAATGTTGAAAATATTTGGAAATCAAAAAAGTGGAAAACATACATCAGTATGTGAAAATTTGACTTTAGTTTTTGAAAATCTGGGTAAGTTTTCTTCAGATGCAATCTCTGATGAATGAAGACATTAATTAGGACCAATAGAATAGCATATATTTTTGTTTCAGTGAGGCTGAGTTGTGGCAGCACTGCAGTCAATCATTTCACAGTAGAAGTGGAAGCAGTTAGTCCTGAACATGGGATACGCTGTCTTTTCTTCACTATTTGAAGAAGTCCTGTTGCTGTCAAGTTTTATCTTGAAGTGTATTTATAAAAATAATTTTAGAAATACAGATTATCTTTGGAATAAGGACAATAATTACAATTTGATATTGAAAAATATTTGTTAAAAACTATTCTGAACACAGCGTAGGTCTTCTATAGCTAAATTTTAGGATTACCATAGCCTGACTGTTGTCATGTCAGTTCTGCTTTGACACAAAACTGCAGCAGAATGAACCAGAGGTGAATGTGGCTGCTTCAATCCTGAGCCCTCTGCAATCTTTGCCTTTTTAAAAAATTGATACAGTCGTTCATTGTTCATTAGAGCACGTTTCCTGCGCACTAAGACTTTTCACAACAGCATAAGGTTTGTCATACAATTTTCATGCATAATATAAAGGAAACAGAGACTCTCAGTAGTTTTACCAATGTACCAAATCATTTCAGTCACAAAAAAGCCATGTCTTCTGGCAGCCCTGGGTTCAAAAATCTTAGAGGTCTTTTCCAACCTTTATGTTTCCATGATTCTAAATAAAATGAGTGAAAATATGGATTAATATGGAGTTCTGAAAGCTCCAAATGTTGTTAAGAAGCACATCCCTTGTACTCACCTGTTTCTAAAATGATGCTAAAAAATTTAGTTTTATCCAGGTGCCCAGTGGTTTTCCTGATTTGTGTGCTAGTGAACAGAAGTAGAATCCTCCTTTCGGCCTTAGCATTGTCATACATCTTTCAGTCCTAGTTGGAGTGCATCTGCACACCTACATGTTCATAACATGGTGCAAAGTTATTCCTATGTGCTTTGTCAGTGCTGGAGTATGCACAGACCATGACCTCTAGGGTTAAACTCAGGGATTTCTTTCCCCTTTCTGTCAGCACACTAGCTTGGCTTGTATCATGTGTCAGTGATTAATAGAAAGTGAAGCACAATTTGCCCTTACTGATTTTTGTCCACTTTTAGCCTATTTTTAATATCTTGAAGCTGGTAACTTTATTATAAAATTACTGAATTATGTGCAGAAAGTAACTTTTCTTAAGACAGGTTTCATACTTTATAGTATACCTATATACCTATATACTTGGTTTTCAGCATGTCATATGCACTGGGTTGTGGTGTAAGGTGGAAAGTGAGAAGGAATGCAAAACTAAACTGGATCCACCTATGGATGGAACAGACTGTGAGACTGGAAAGGTATGTTTTCCTACAGCAGAAGTAATAAAGCAACATAAGTTACACTGAACACCTGACATTTAAGGAAAAACTGAATATGTCTTTGCATTTGTTTAAAGTTACTGCTTACCTCAATTTTCATGAAAACTATACATACATAATAAAATGAACTATGTATTTTCTATTATATAATCTAGACATAGTACAAAAATACATTTCCATACAAGCAATGAAATGCTTTTAAAAAGTTAATCAAAGCCACCTGTTTTGATGCTTGCACTGTTCTATTTCAGTCTTGCTTTGTTTTTGTGTCATGTTTATGAATGGAATGCCATTGTTGCCCTGCTTGTTGTGAGCAGAAGCATAAGCTTTGGAAGACAGAAAAATTTCAGCTCCAATTTCCACGTAAAATCAGATTTGCAATTTAACTAGTTAGGATAAGCTTAAAGAGGAATTTACAGTGTCCGTACACCAAAAGGAACAATTAATGTCACTGCAAATATGTTGTCAAGGAGAAATTAATGGTCACCTGAAGTCTGCCTTACATTAATTGTTGTTCTTCAGGAGCTTTCATGTTATAATAATGCTGCTGCTGTGTGAATAGAACTGTAAAGTAGTTAGATACTTTTCAGTAAATAGATAACATAACAGAAATATGCATGTGTCTTGGGATTTTCATGATACTGTGCTGACAGCAGTCTCCTTCTGGAGTGATTGGCTCTTTGAGTCATATTGCAGTCACCAAGGACTGTCATCATATCCCTCATCTTCTGGAGGTTTGTGGAGGCTTGTGACCCTGCCTGTGGCAGGGGTTTGGAACTTGATGATTCTTATGATCCCTTCCAACACAAGCCATTCAATGATTCTAAGAAGAGCAAATAAATCAATCAGCTAAATTTTTCAAGTAGTAAAATTTTTGTACACTGAAGAAAAACCAGAGTGCATTAATTGTCATATTTCTAAAAGTCTTACATTTGTTATGATCTTTTGATTCTGATACATGCATGATGGTTTGTCTGGAATCAACATTTGGAAAGACATAGACATATCTTTTGTTCAAGTTTATATTCTTTATGTTGACACTAGTGTGCCTCTGGTGTGGAATAAGAAAATAGTGGAACTCATTGAGACCCAGATTTTTCTGTAATACAACCACAGCCATTTGAACATTCAGACAGCCCAAAATTAGTGTATGTTCTGAACATCATTGTACGTCATTAATTCATTTGCAAAAAAGTGATAATAACAAGTAATTGCAGACAACTTGTTCTTGTTGGTAGTTGTGAAGACATTATTATATGGTAGTGACATGACATGAGTCCTGGGAGAACCTATGAGGAGCTTAGCTAGTTGGAGGGAAATAAGTAGTAAGTGTAAGAAATATTACTGATTCAAATTCAAATGGCTCAGAGAGTTTTGTGTCAAGCTGCAGGGACACCTTATTTATGACTAGCAGTAGAAAACTAAGCAGACATTACTGAAACATCTCAGAGAATTAGAAGAGATACTTCTTCTTGTTTACTTTATGTCTTAGGTTGTAGAGATGATATATTCTTGTCTCGTATTATTTGCTTAGGATATTGGGAAGTGGTTTGAGTATCATTTGCTTAGCCTCTCTAGGTTTAAGCTCATTCCAGCTCATCTGTCATATAAGTAAAGGATTTCTAAGCATCCCTCAAACTCCCCATGAGGAAGATGCAGTCTCTAGAGAAAACTCTTTTTTGCCTGTCTATCTGAAGGAATATGATTAAATAAACATGAGCATGTTCAGTCTGAAATATCAAATTACAAAATTTGTTGTTTCTGATTGTGTGTTCAATGCAAAAATTTAAACAGCTCTATGAAGACTTCTCAAATTTGGTAAATTATGTCATGATTGCAATGCTATAGTTTAGGGCAGAAAATTAAGCTCAATTGATCAGGTAGAAACTGTAGATAAAATTTAATGCTAGACAAGGTTTTATTGCACACAGTGCAGATAACAGAATTATTTTATAAAAGTTACAAAGGTCTTTATTGTCTTTATTATTGGCATGTTTTGTTCCTTTCAAGATATGAGTTTGTGATGTACTTTATCTATTAAATAGTAACACCAGTAATCTAGAGTGCAAAGATAAATGTGTTAAGTTCATAGTCAATGACATTAATTCGTTGTTGTCTACTATAGCCTTACTGCTTTATAATTGTGGAAATCTCATATTTCATGTGTTTAATGTGACAAGCAGCCAAACCCACTGATCCTAGCACTGACCCAAACCCACTGATGGGAGACAGAATAGAAAAATAAATAGGTAGAACTCATATGCTGACATTTAAACTGTTAAGTAGGATAGAAAAGAAGAGAAATAACAATAATGATAATAACTAGATACATATGTATATGTATACACAAAACAAATGATACAAATACCACTTGCTCACCAGCTGATAACCGATGCCTGGATAGTCCCTGAGCACCAGCAACTGCTGTGGCCAAGTCGCCTCAGTTTAAAAGGTTTTTTTTTTTTTCTTGTTTTTTTTTTTTTCCTCCACATGATTCTATACAGTTGGAATATCTCTTTGACCAGTTTAGCTCAGCTGTCCTGGATCTATCCCCTCCTGGCTCTTTGTGCCTCCCATTCACCTGTCTGGAAGGGCTGTACAAGAAGCTGAGAAAATGAAATTGAAATGAAGTGAAAATGTCCTTGGCTCTGTACAGCACTACTTAGCAACTAAAACATCAGTGTGTTATCAGTACTGTTTTTATCTTCATACCAAAACATAGCATATCAGACACTATGAGGAAAATCAAGTCTGTCCCAGTTGAAACCAGAACACAATGAAAAAGATTTTCAGCTGGTGTAAATTGATAAGTACTAGTGTTTTGCAAATGTATAGTGCTTGTCACAAGATATGGACATAGGCTACAAAGCATAAGAATTGTGATTGGATAGTGAGAAATTGCTGTTATCATGGGAAATGACAGATAAATACAAGATTATTGAGGTGGTATTCTGGACTTCTTTAAATAAATGTCAGAAGTTCAGTTGACTTTTTCAGCACTAGTCTATGGAGGATTCCATTCCTGTCTCTTTGAATGCAAGTTGTGAAAAAATCTTGTTTTTTCTCCAATTCATAGTATTCATGTTACTCATAGAATTTCATGTTACAATTGTCACTGGATTATCAGTGATAAATACTAGCTATACCTATACTAGTGAACCAGTCAAGCTGGGGGCACAGCCCAAAACACAGTACCGTGATCATCTGATTCAGGAAATGGGCAATCCCTGCAATGTGTTTTGGCTGGACCCAGAAGCATTTTCCTAAGCAGGGCCCAGCCTCAAACAAAGTGGACAGTGTGATCTGGAAACCATTTCTTTTCCAGAGGCACCCTGTGTTGAAAATGAACTTCAGCATGAGCTTGTAGACAAGAGTTGCACTTGGTACTTGGACAAAGAGCTAGAGGAAGGTCGCTAATACAGGAGAGAGAGCTGCGAAAACAGTAGGAGGAGATACTCCTGACTCATATGAAATCTTTTGAACAAAATATTTGGATTCTGCCTTGTGGAGTAGTGAGTTGTTTTGCATATACCTTAATTTATTTACCTAACTGATGAATTTTTATTTAGTGGTGTAAGGCTGGAGAATGTACCAATCGGACAACATTGGTGGAACATATGGAGGGGGAATGGAGCATGTGGAGCACTTGCAGCCGTACTTGCAACACTGGAATCAGCAGTCGACAGCGCAAATGTCCTGGGTAAAAATAAGTTCAGGATTCCAATTCTATTTTTCTGAACAGAATTTAAATTGTTCCAGTACAGAACCTCATTAAGATATTGCTATCTTATAAGTAATGAATACTGAAAAGGCCTAGATGAACTAAGTATTTGATTTTTTCAGTTGCATGTTAAAGCTTTTGTTTATAGCTTCACCTGAAGATCAAAGAGAAAACTAAATGCATAATTTTTGGCTTGCAGAGTGCCAGTACATAATTCTTGTCTTTTCATTTTGGTAAAGAAAAATAGGGAAAGGGAAAGGGGAGGCTATGCTAATAAACAATAGTTAACAGAGTCCTTAGATTGAAAAGAGGCTATTTTATATCCTCCCATCTAAATACTACTTCCAGTAGCATGCCTAAAAACTTTGTGGAATTTAATGATGTTTCAATTTCACTTAAATTCATTTTTCCAGGCAACATTTTCGGTAAGTAACTCCAATTTTTTGCAGTTCACTATTCTGCATGTATTCATTAATGCCTACAATCACAACTTATACATCAGGAAAAAAGAGTTTTGCCTAAATTTTGTAACACAACATATGTTAAAAAAAATGGAGAGGTAACAAATCTCTATTAAGGCAGGCATTATATGTCCTTTCACTTGCATTCCTGGCTCAGTTCAACAATAGAAAGCAACAATAGAAAAATCACCTGAACTTTACCAAAACTTTAATGAAGGTTCTCTGTGCTAAACATCCCTAGTAATACTAGTGCTTCTTTGGGATCAAGTGTAAGTTATGGTTTAGCACCATTACCTGTAATGCAGCCAGTCCAAACAGAAGTCAAACATGTGAGTTTACTGTGAGTGATTTTTTAATATTATGTCATCAATAAAACTGCTATTTAAATTGTTTGTGTTTATCTTAAACAAGTTATGCTGTATGTTTATAGATATTGCTAATAATAAATGACTATATTTATGCCATCATTTCTAGTCTGGGTGTTGAAGGTGAGTGTCATGGCCCCGTGATGCAGTATAGAATATGTGAAAATCCTTCCTGTCCTGCTGGCGTGCCTGCCTTCAGAGACTGGCAGTGCCAGGCTTTCAGTGTCAGATCTTCATATCAGAAGCATGTGCACCAATGGCAGGCTGTCATTGATAATGGTAAGTCGAAGACATCTCTCACATTTCCCAAATTGTTATTATACTTTCTTTAATAAATAGCAATAATTTAAAAGCAAAAGCAAAATGAAAACAAACCAATGAACTGATCAAACACAACAACAACAGAAGAAAAGCAAGCAGAAAGAGTTAAGGACTGAAAACAGTTAAGCTGAGAAATTAAGAATCTTTACAACTACTAGTAAAGTTGTGCCAAGACTGACAGGAAAATACTGTAAGTATTCAATTGCCATTGATATTTCCCTCAAGACAAATTATCACAAGCATTACAAAGGACAGATTTTGCTGAATCCTGAAAAATGTGAAGTTATTATCCTACACAACAAACCTAGGTGAACATACGTCCATCTAAAAGAAGATTTTTTTAACGCTAAATTATGAGATTATATAGAAGACTGAAGGTGGCACAATGAAAACTTGTTATTCTTCTTTCAGAGTAAAGAAAATTCTCTTCATGTATTTGAAAGGCCCTTATCTACTGAATCAATCTGGCTTTATTTTACCAAATTTCATTTTAGAGCATAAACATTTGACATATATCCTAAGGATCATAAATTTTCAATCTGACTTGGAATAATTCAGTCATCTGATGAAAAATGTCGACACATTCCCATTTTCCATTGAGAATGGATGACTATTTTCATCAAGCATGTTCATGGCTTAAGCTGCACTAAGGAGGCACAAAACTGGACATAAGCTGAATAATGCCAGTGTTACAAAAGTTCGTTTTTCCCAAATCCTTAGATATTTTCCCTCCTGGACTTTATGAGGACTGAACTGTGCACCATGTCGAAAGTAGTTGCTGTTGCTTGAGTGAGATCAGCTATAGGGCCATGAGGACGATCAGCATCTCTACTATTAAGATGGCCTGAGAGACCTGGGATTGTTCAGCCTGGAGGAGAAAAGGCACTGGGGAGACCTCACAATGGCCCACCAGTATCTAAAGTGGATCTGCAAGAAAGATGAAAAGCTCCTCTTTGCCAGGGACTGTACTGAAAGGACAGGGGGTTATGGCTTTAAAAATAAAGAAGGTTTAGTTTAGACATCATGAAGTAATTTTTTACTTTGCCCAGAGAAGTTTTAGATTGTTCACCTTAAGATGTTCAAGACCAGGATGGATGGGGCTTTGGGCAATGTGATCTAGTAGAAGGTGTCCCTGTACACTGGAGGCAGACTGGAACTGGACCATCTTTCAGGGCATTTCTAACATAAATCATTCCTTGATTCTGGTTGGTTTTTTTGTTGTTGTTGTTGTTGTTTTTGGTTTTTTTTGTTTGTTTTTGTCTTTTTGAGTTCAGTGTCCTTAAAAAATTGTAGTTTGTAAATTTGCTATTAAAGTACTCTTTTGAAGAATTCTGATGCATGCGGTTCTTGTAGGTACCAGGTGACTTTTACTTTACTGTTTAAGCAATATAGCAGAAATGCAGAACCTACAAGCTCAGGCAGAGTCTCATGCTTCTGAACTGGAGGTGGCTTGTGTCTAACTGGCTTCATGTATTAGCAAAAAAGATCACATCTGATTGTATTTTTCCCCTGGAGATACCCAGAGCTATGTCAATTTTAGTATGTTAAATGTGCCCAGACTGCTCTCTGGTTTGCAAGTGAGCTGGCAGAGAAGGCCTGTGTCCATACTTCTCAGCTATCTAACACTCTGAAAAAGAAGGTAGCATCCAAGCTGCTTTCTGGAAATGGCCCTTTTCAAGCGGCAGTTTCTAGTTTAGACTCAGCTAGTGCTAGATGGCACAGGCAAAAAATGTGCCACAGGCTGTTTTACAGTTTAACTGTACAGACAGTAGAGCACTAGTGCCCTTGAATGTTTCCTGGAACTGTTTAATTTACTAATAAAAATGCACTCCAGGAATCTAAAAGTCAGCATGAAGTATGAGTGGTGTAGAATGCATCCAAATGAAATCAGTTTCAATTTCAAGATTGACATTATCCTTTCAAGAATCTGAAAAAGATTTGGAAAAGAGTTCTGAGTTAATGCACTTGTAATTAAAGATATAAAAAGTTATGTGATTTTGTACTCAGTTGACCACTGAGAGGAGACTTATTTTATTTGTTATTACTTTGGCAGTGATAGAAAAAACTTCATTATTTATAAATGATGACCCTGTGGAATACATGGCCACGTAGATAAAATTTCTTTTTAATTCTTTTCAAAATGAAAATGATTTGCAGAATGCTGTAGAAATGTAGTAGAAAGTTACATGACTGTGGTAGAGATGTTAGAAAGAATGTGTTCAGTATTTTGTCTTTTTTTAAAATGTGGACTTTGTAAATCCTTATATTTTTCTTCCCAGGGTGTTTCAGTTACTCAATTTTTTTTTTTTTTTTTTTTCTTTTTCCCTCTATGACCTGCATAGTTAGAAAATCTGGAAAGTGTTAACTTTCTTTTTTAACCAATATTTATGATCTGTCAGAAGTTTAGTAGAATGAAAGTATAGATTACAACCAAAATATTCCATCAGTTGAAATGTGTGTATTCTTAATTGTAGCAATGAACATGACAGGAGTATGATGTAAGCCAAGTTTAAAGCAGAAGTATGTTCTAGGAGGAAAAAGAACTTGAGTTCTACAAACATGAGAAAAGGACAGAAAATGTGTGTTGGTTTGTTGGTTTGGCTTTTTTTTTCCCCCCACATTAACCAAGATGACTTCTTATACTAATGTAGATTCATACTGAAAAGATAAGTATAAATCAACTTTTAAAATACTGTTGATTTTTTTTTTATTTGTTAACTGACCTTTCACGACCTCTTTTTTTTTTCTATGAATTGCTACTAAAGAAAAGCCATGTGCCTTATTCTGTACACCGTCTGGAAAGGATCAACCCATTCTTCTAACAGAAAAGGTGATGGATGGGACTTCCTGTGGCCAGCATGGGTTAGACATCTGTGCAGATGGTAGATGCCAGGTATAAATTACTTCTTTAGAAAATGGATATGTATGTACATGTGTGTGGGTGCAAGTATTTGTTATGAATATGTGTTACTTCTCTGATGGAATTTTGCAAAATGCATGGCCAAGACTGAATGTTTCTTTATGTATCATACTAAAATATTTTAACTCTTTTCACTCATTGGAACACATTATCTGAAGTTGCTGAAGATTTAGCTGCAGGAATATGCATCCCACGTATGGCTGATTATAACAAACTGCAGCACATTGGATAATTGAATTCATCTTCTAAAGTTGAGTGAAGACACAGCTTTCAACAGAATGGGAAATGTTGCTATGGGATCTGCATATGTGAGCTGAATTCTGTCAACAGTACAGATTTTACATCCAAATAAGCCAAAGATTATAATTTACAGATAACTAAAACAGAGGGCTTCTTCTGTTTATGGTCCTGAAAATTCATTTGGTTTATAGAAGTTCTTTTGACACTTTTATAGTGCCTCATATAGAAACTCTTTCATATAAATCCCTCAGGGCTGTTTTTAGCTTGATCCACTTCTCATTGCATACACTGAATTCAGCAGAAAAAGTAACCTTTAATACAGATTCATCACTAGATGCTATAATAAATTAGCTTACAGATGCATACATGCATCTGTGTCTCCATGCAAATGGAGATGTGTATGTATAATAAGTCTTTCTCAAATGACTGTGTGCAACAATTACACAATACTTAAATACTTCACCGAACTGGTTTTTTGCTCACCAGTTATAGGAGATCATAAAGAGGACATATAGTCCATTTTTCATGAAAAACCTGTTGTTTTGTTTTATTATCCACTTTTCATATCTGTCTGGCTAATAAAGACAAAAAAAGCCTGAAGCCAAACCCATCAAAGACTGAATTGTATTCTTGATATATCAAGAGTCAGAGAGATATCTGCTAATCGAATTTGAAAATACAATTTTTTTGTATCTTCCGCATTTTAGCTTGTCTTTTCAAACAACAGATAATGAAGAACTTCTGGTCTACAGCTGTCGAGTTAGGTATTTAAGTCTTCCAAATATATCATTTTAGATACGCAGCTCTTGGAACCCTAATACCATAAACTGTTAATGTTGTTTTCTTTTTTCTTTTCAGTAGAACAGTTCTATTAAGAATTGTTTGCATAACATGAAGTAACAATCTTGACATGCTTGAAAACAAGCTGATCTGTAGCAGACCATGTTTTCTGTTCTTACAAGAATTTTTCATTTCCTTTTTAGCCTAGTTTTTATCTTCATCACTTATCAAACAGTGCTGAAGTTTTATTGGTTTAATGAGGTGCAGTTATACAGCGCACAAGATTACCATGTGTTGGCCTTTCTGGTCTTCAAAAGATTTTTATTTCATATTAAATGAACTTCATTATAACTCTATTTCTGTTGACAAAGGAGCAGTGATAATACTTGACAGAAATACCTCTAATTTAGTAATGTAAGAGTGCTTCTTTAGTAAATGCCATCTCTAAAGACTTCTAATACTAAACCAAATACTCCATAAAATACAAATAAATTTTATACTTACATTCCAGGTATGTTCACATGCTATGCGGAGTAACTGAAGATGGTACTTTATTATTATGGGAGAGAGAAAAAACCTCCCGTGTTTTGAATGAAAAATACTAAAACAACACAAACTGAGGTCACTGGGGAGGAAGGCCAATGGAATGTTTTGTATAGTGGTTCAACTGTGCCAGATTCATCTTGGAGAGCAGCTGGTAGTGTTGGTCAACCATATAGGAAGAGTGAGTGCACCATAAGTAGAATCACAGGAGAAGTTAGTATAGAACAGATATCAAGATATCCAATAGTGAAACCCTCATTCTGAAGAGGCCTGACATCAAACCTGAATTGTAAATGTTAGGTCATCCGGAAAAATGGTGTGATATATCTGCAGCCTTATAACAAATGTAGACCATTACTTAAACAGCTTTATTTTCTTCTCCACAGAAATTTGGCTGTGACGGTATAATAGGCTCTCTGGCTCGTGAAGATCATTGTGGTGTATGCAATGGTAATGGAAAGTCTTGCAAGGTCATTAAAGGTGACTTTAACCATACCAGAGGAGCAGGTAAGTCTAATTATTTACAAGGCTCAAAAACGTGTTATTTTGATTACTCTGAGTACTAGAAGTGAGATATGTTTTTTTTTTAAAGAGATGCAGTTTATCAGTTTCAGATCTAGAATAATAGAATCACAGAATCAGAGAGTTGCTCAGGTTAGAAAAGACTTTCAAGATCATCAAGACCAACTGCAACCTAAGCGTACTACCCAAACTCTAACAACCCTCTGCTAAATCACGTTCCTGAGATATCTACAAAAGATATTTTTGAAATCAATCTCACTCCAATCATGTTCAATATTTAACATAAAAGTAAATGATTATTTCTATAATGCTGCAAAATACACGAGCAAATTATCTGATTTTTCTATCCTAGAGACATATTATTTCACAGAAATGATTGCTAGAAATCTGCAAAGTATTGTTTTTGTGTGTTTAGTATGTAATTAAATTGTGAATTCTTACAATATTTAGATCAATGTAATATTATTCAAAATAAATATCCGAATTATCTTTGGTTACCCAGAGTGGTATCATTAAATGAAGCATTGAGAGATTATAAAGTCAAATGTGTAGAGAAGTCATATCTTTTCATTATTTTATGTTAATGGCAACATAATGTAAAAACTAAAAAGATTTTCTGGTGCAGAATGAATATTAGATTTTCAGACAGTCTTATGATTTGTTCTTTGAACAAGATGACTGACTACGGCCCCATACAGTTGACAGAGTGAGAGACTGATATCCTAGTGAATTCAATCATGCACCATGTATACCTTCTCTTATTTAAGTCTTTCCTTTGAAAGAATGTTTGGGCAATTGTTTTCAGCATTTGTTTGCTGTTAGACTTTTTGTTTGTGGTGTATAAAATGCACCAAATTTCAATACAGTAAGTAAATCATATAATAAAATAATGTAATTAAAGTCAGACAGTATCTTCTTGGACAGTTATGGACTTTAATGCATTTCATTCATGCAATCATCAGTTAAAAAACAAAAATCATAATCTTCAGATGTTTCTTCTGGGATCTTAAACTGAAAGTAGTGCAGAACAAGGATCCCAAACCATGGATTATACTACAGAGGAAGTGACAGCTAGTAGAAATAGCAGCGTGTCAGCAATCTTTTACGCTAATGTGAATTTCCAAAACCTTCTCAGAATCATTCAGAGTTCTTTGTCAATCCATATTATATTATGTTTATTTATGTTGTATTATTATGTATATATTATATAATCAATATTATAGTATTGCCATCTAATCGCAGCTGTGTTGTTTTATTTCCCAAGAAGCTGGAATGTCAATAATAGCAATAAATGGAAAATGTTATTTGCTCTTAAAGAAATGATATAAATGATCCTTTGCAGTTACCTAATAATCATGCTTCCAATTTGTTGAGAAGATTCTGTAAGTGCTCAGTGTTATCCTAGACAGAATTACGTAGCTGGGAAGAATAAAAATTTGTTTTACAGCCCACTATTTGAAGTTCACCTAGATAATCTCAAATATGATTTATTTATAACACAGTATTTTCCACCTGCCTTGCCTTTTCACCTCTTTTTACTTAAAGCAAATTTCTAAACTAAACAACTTACTAAAAACTAAACATGTCTTTTCCCACACTGTATGGAACCAATTTTAATGTACTACAATAACTTTATTACATTAACTGTAATAACATACTTCAAAGTCATTCATAGCAGCAATTGAACACTACAGCAAGAAAGCAGGATCACAAAATACAAAATACGAATACAAAAAAAAAAAAAGAAAGAAAATAGTTGGATGATTTTCTATATATATTTTCTAATGATATCTCTACTTGCGGAATGAAATAAGAATTCTTTTGCCATTGCCTGATGTGATAATAGCATTATGTTACGTGGTTTCATCTGTCCTAGACCCAGTGTATTCCTTGCTAATTCTCCCTATATTTTATTCTGCCACACTGTTAAAATATGTTTAAATGTTTATATCACACTATATATATTATGTACAAGGCACAGTATCATCATTTGTTAATGACTATAATCTTTTTTTGAATGCCATTGTTATACAAATTATAACTTTCTAAATTTCAAAAACAGAATTGGAGAGAGGAAATAAAAAAACCATGCAAGATGTACATTTCTATAGAGTTCTATTTAACTCAGTACATTTGGACATTTGGTCTCATGTCTAGGTTATGTGGAAGCTTTGGTGATACCTGCAGGAGCAAGGAGAATCAAAGTTGTGGAAGAAAAACCAGCTCACAGTTACTTAGGTAAGTATCATGGTTTAGTGCTTGTTTTCTGTTTGGATTAGCACTGAAGAGGTCTAAATAGGCATGCTTGTGTGATTAAATGAAACAGTAGAAAATGAAAGCATTGAGAGAACAAATAAAGAAAATTTGTAGAAATGCGATAGGAATGGCTGCTGCATTTTCTGTTTTTTGGAACTTTCATCTCATCAAGCCATTTCAAGACTTTCTGTGCTTCATGTGGAAAACACTAATGAGAGCTCTTCATATTGAACTAGTGAAAATAAATGCTTCATACTGAAATGGAATAATTTCTACAAAAAAACAGAAAGACCAATATACAGGAGATCGCCAAAAGTCAAATGAAAGTTCAAAAATTAGAGTAATAATACAGAAAAAAATTATTTTGATGATTTCAAATAATTGGAATATTTTCATGGAAATAATTAATCGTAATGACTTTTTTAGTTTAGTTTTTTTTTTTTTTCTTTTCATTTTTACGAAGTTGTTTTTCATATGAAGAAAGCATTTTTCTCTCTTAATGATTTGTGGAGCTCTTGTCTAGGGCAGTAGAATTTGTAATTATTGTTACAGGGTTTAAGTTATCATAATTGGTCCTGTCCGGTGGACTGCTTGCATTTTAACTTGTGAGAAACAGTACAAGAAACAGGACAATGAAATTAAAATTTCCCTGGTTTGACCACTGTTATTAGTTCTGGTCATAAGAAATACCAATGTTTTACAAAACTTTTTACTTGAACATTCTCAATATCTCACCTGAGAGAATGTCAAAAATGGCAAATCTGAATTATTAGCCCTTAAGTTACCAGTGAGTTACTATTTGTTTATTGTGAGGGATCTGCTTATCCTGTTAAATTATTGGAAGAGATTTATAGTTTTGAACAATTTCACTGTGCATTAATGGAGTATAAAGATATAGGTATAGGACTGTCGGATCAATAATTGGTTTCATTGATAAATTTCTTAATTTTCAAGTTATTTTATTCCTCTTTGCCTATTACCATTAACAGACAACTGAAGTACTGTTTAGTTCTTATATTTTAAATAATACAAAAATAAGTAAACACTAGACTTGTATTTAGGGAAATTAATTCACTTCTCATAAGAGGTAAATTTTCCTTCCTTATACTGAGACAGACTAAGAGAAGTTAATTCTTCTTATACCCTTGAAATCATATCAGTTGTTCTGATTATTTTTGAAAGCGCTCATTAATACTTGATCAGCTTTTAATTTATTTTCACTTGAATTTTACTTTTCTTAATGCAGCTGATGTCTGAATGATTATCAGCCAGTATCACACATCTTTTTTTGTGGGGGGAAAAACAGCAACAGATCTCTTCTTTCTAACTAAAACCTAAATTATTGGTTTTTTTATTGTTATTTATACTAGCCAAAAGTACTTAAAAATTCTTGAATTTTAAAATATATTTATATTGAAAGCACAAAAATCAAAATTGAATAGGAGTAATAAGTTGAACATTAAATTTTTTGACCAAGAGTGGTGAATTGCAAATTCTGGGAAGAAAGTGTAAAAGTTTCAGCTTAGAAACAATGTTTTTCAGAGAACTGTCTTCAAAATTTTGAAATACAAAACAAATTGAATTCTGTCTTTCTGAATCGTTTATGTCTTATAGTTCGGAGTTTTCATTTTATGTTGCATGGTAGCTTGTTTTCTGGGTTTTTGAACTTGAAAAGAATCAATATACTTCAACCATATTTCTGGCCTGCTTATTTTCATATGCACACCTTATGATTAAGTTCCTAAAGTAATATAGCTAATTATCTACAAAATAACTGCATAATGATTTAGCTATAAACATACCGTGATGCAGTATACATTTAAAAAGTGTGAGTTACAAGGTAGAATCCAATTTAAGCTGTTGGAAATATGATCCCTGTTTTTCATAGGCTAAACAGGGAAGCAATCAAAATAAATGCCTTTCCCTGTTATCTTGGAAGTTGCGATGACTATAATGAATTCATTAGTAAAACCACAGTACATATCAATAGCATCATTGTGTAAATGTACTGTGGAAGCTAGTCTTCAGAGAAGTTCCTTCTGAACTCCTCAAATATCCTCTTTATCTGAGGTATATCAACATACACCACAATAACAGGAACTCTGTCATCCTAGGGAATAATGTAAAGTATAAACTGCAACTGCATTTACTGAACTGATGAATGCCTCTAGATATGGCCTATCTCCTATGCCTTCTGGAGGATTTATTCACAGATTTTAAAAAACTGTGTTTTTTCTCTTTTTTAAAATATAATATATAAATATCATAAATATATATGATATAGCCAAATATTAGTTATTCCTCCTACCCTTAAGTTATGTGAGAAAACACATACAAAATTCTGCTTCTTATGCCTTGTCTGCTGTTATATTTTCCTTCCCATTTGACAAATGTTTGCTTTTTTTAAAGTTGTTAAAGTAGAATACAGGAAGAAGTTTATTTTTTTTTTTTTAATAGGAGATAAAACAAATTTTGAGATTATAACACTCACATGACAGTTGCAAAATGGCATGTCGGTTCCAGACCCATAATGAATTACTAAGAATACTTAAATTGTATTTAGCTATACAGATAGTTTTTAGTCCAAAACCTGAAATTTCTCATTGGTAATTGGAAATGAGAGAAATTATTTGTTTTTAACTGAGATACAGAAGAGGATTAACTCCAGGTGTCCCTGCTTGAGCAGGGGAGCAGAACCAGATGACATCCAGATTTCCCTTCCTACCTCAGCCATTCTGTGAGCTAAGTAATTGTTTTGGCAAACACAATCAAGCTGCTTCAGGGATGCAGACCCTTTGAACACCTGCAACTGAACACTGCATAGCAGTGTAATTCCTCATTCTTTTGAGATGTCAAATTGACAAATATGTGGTTCTTGTCCAGTTTTCTTTATGAAGTATGTTTCCTAATTAAAAAAAAAAAAAGTTGTACTGCTGGGGCCTATGAGGTGAAGAATGTGGAAAAGAAGGCAAGATCTGACAAATTACACACAATTTTGAATTGCCCACTTTTGAAAATGCTAATTGTTTTAAAATACCTTTGAAGCTGGTTGAGGACTTGGTCCCATAGCAGAGGCCAGTGTCCCCCGAGATTAACCATGTTTTCCTTTTATAAATAGAAGGCTGTGAACAGTGATTAATAACAAAAAAAAATTGAAACATCAAGATGAAAAAACATTTGTTATTAAGTCTGTAACTTTGAAAGCTGTCAACAAACAATTTAGCAAACTGTTTAGCAATATAAACTAAGCATGCAAGTTCATGATAATGAGTTTGAATTATTTTCCAGGTAAGAATATGCACATTTTTAGTTCTTGCTGATCTCTGTTACTGTTTTAACAGCCTTTTTACTGCCCCATATTTTTCTCATAGACTGAAATAGTGGGGGAAGAATCATTTCCTGTGTGTATAAAGAGCTCTAGAACTTTAAACAGCTGAGCAACCCATTCCATAAAAAAAACAGAATTAGCAAATAGAAGTTTATTTTGTTCAAATTGTGCTTATACCCGATTAAAATTTTTATTGAGCTCTTACATTGCCAAAGCAGAAGACAACATGAAAAGTGATGTGAATCAGCTCTTCCTTGACAGTCAATAAAACTTCACCTCAGTGGTATGGACTGTCTTAAAGTCATTTTCAAAATAAGAGTGAAGATTGATACCAACATGGAATCATGCTATCTATGTTTTCTGCTCAGCACATGCAGATAAGTTATTTATAAAAATAAATACTAGTAGTATATTTTTGCATGTACATATTTTAATATGGCTCAGATTTCTCTGTAGAGAAAAAAAAATGCCCTTCTTCTATACAGAATTATGCCACAGATACAAATTATACCACCTCAATTAAGTATTCCCCTGCTTTTATATCTAATACCAAGATAGTATGTTTTATAGTTCTGTGAAATAAGTGATAAAGAAAGTGCATGTAGGTTAGCAAAGCTGTGAATGAAAATATGTAGTGAAGAAAATGGGTTTATCAGGAATCATTTTTTGAGTTACATGAGTTTTGGAAATAAGTTCACTGTATGTGTGAACACTGCCAGACAGGATACAAAAGTAGCACTTAACTAATTTTAAGCATAGGCTAGCACTTATTTTATGTGCAGTCTTAACGAGTCTTTAATTTTCATTAGATTATATATTTGCATATAGATAAGATACTTGTAACTTTATTACTGTTTACCATGGAATAGTTGCTACGATTACAGTGATTAAGCTGGCCAGCCTGATTATTTCATTTTATTTTCAAGACGTTTCTAAGAAATTAAGGTCAGTCTTTTTTTTTTAATACAAAATACGTTTGTTTTTGAATTGTAACAAAACATACACAATCCTTTTCTTGCTCTCAGCTTCTTGTTATAATAGTAACTCTGTCTTTAACAAAAGGATTTCCTGAATACTAATGACCAGTTGGTGCTGATTAGTCACAGTAGAGGTGACATGTTATAAATTACTTCTAGCAATATGCATACCTCTGGATGTAGCCTATAAATTGATTATTATTGCTTATAAAACGAAAAAGAACCTGTGAGCTTGTTCTGCTTTTTCATTAGTGTTATGACCAATGACAAAAACATAATGTGATCAGAGAGCAATTGGCTGATGGGTTGTGCTCAAAAGGTTATAGAAAATGGGCTTGTGTCAGGCTGGGGGCCAGTTACTCATGGCAGTTGAGCATTTTTAAGCTTTTTAGTTTGAGAAAAAATACTCCTTTGCTGACACGTGCTACATACTCACCTGATAGCATTTCTGTGTGATTTCTCTTCTCTTATTTTGTTTCCTTAATATCAAAGCAACTATTTGGAAAAGACTGGAGCAGCAGCAACTCATAGGAAGTTTGCTGCAGAAGGTGATGTCATATCCCTTCGTTAGTTAATTTTGAGAAAGCAGCAAGGAACTATCAGCATTAAAGCGTGACCTCATAGAAAAAAAAGCAACATCCAATAGAAGTTTCTTCTTATAAGAAGACATATCGTTTATTGAATATATCCCATATGGTACTGCATAGTACAAGTATAGTTGTTTTCAGCATCTTTAAACATTTAATTGTTCAAATAATTTTCCATTTACATTGGAAATAAATGCTTCAAAATAAAATAATTTAGTAAAAACAGAAACAAGAACGCATTATGCCAAATTACATGTAACTCCTAATTTTAGTGGCACCATATATAAGATCAAGATGGAATTTTGTATTTCCTGAGTTGATAAATTGACGTTTTCTATGTTATTCAAATTTTGAATATTATTACTCTTAAAATTTATTGCAGGTATCACAGGATAACCTTAATGCAAGTGAAACAGTGATTTCCCTGATGAAAGATGTCAGTGAAAGCATCCTGGTTTAGAATTCAGATTCGTATTTTTTTTAATATATTTGCCAGTTTTCTTGACAAAATCAAGTTCAGCCAAAGTGACTTTGTTTTGGTTATTTTATGAAGAGTATGTCTAAATTTTGAAAAAACAAACAAAAAACAAACAAACAAAAAAAAAAACCCAAATTCACAACTTCCAAAGACACTCGCTTCCCTCTATTTTTGGCACAAACTCTTTTTCTGGTAGATTTTCCTCATCATAGTTTTTTTAAATTGTTTGTCTTTTTCATTATGGCTATATTACTCAGTATATTTTATAGCCTGAGAGGCAATACACTTGTGTGCTGAATTTTCCTCCTATGTTGCGTTAATCTGTACAGTAGATCTTCCTTCATCAAAAGCTAAGCAGAATAGGGATTATATGTATGACGTGGATTAAAGCTCAGTGAACAAGCTTGCAATAAGAGGTGTGACAGAGTCAGATGTAGAAGCTGGACTACCTGAATCAAAGCCTAAATTTTATACATGGCAACACTCATTCTTTTAACCCCAGGGCCTCAGCTGAGGAAGCTGAGAGAAGAAAATGCAGGAACTGACATATTTCTGTTGTTCCAGGACTGAGATTTCAAGTCTTCTGAACACAACTGTGTGCTGTCACACATAACGTTGCTTTTAAAGACACAGAAAACAGTGCAAGGTCTACCATTAGAAACAGGATTGCCATCTACAGTTTTAAAATTAAATAGAACTCAATTACCACTAGTAATAGAATGTTTAAACCTGAAATACCAATTTTTAGATCTTGTAAAATGACTTGTTATTTTTAGCACAAGGCATTAATGGATTTTATAATCCTAACATTTATTACACAGCACTGTAGTAGTACACATCAGTGATGTCTTATGCAATTGTATTGCTGCCAGTCCATAGAGCTATTGCCATTGTTTCCCATAGAAACAAAACATAACAGTATAAATATGAATAGGAGAAAAGACAATTACAGGAATGACTCACATTAACTTACAAGTTCAAATAAGAAAATTTGGACAAGGGTTAAGATGTTGAGGTTCTCTTAAAACAGTTTGATGCCAAACATGCAATTTCAGTGAAGAGGAATGTGTACAACTTTTTGTCTGAAAGGTGACTTCAAGTACAACCTTCCTTCACATGCCTATTTCAGACATTATTTTGAATAAGAAAATTATATAAAATAAAAAAAATAAAAGGTTAAAATAAAGGTTCCTCACAGAAGAGTTTCTGCAGAATTTAATATAGTAAAAAATAGTAGTATACTGTGTTTTCAATGTCTGAATATCTTTACTGACTTGGTGATGCTTTTACATTGTAATTTGACCAAAAAGATCAATCTGTTTCAGTTTTTTAGAGCAATCAAATTAGATGGTGAAAGTCTGAGTAAAATAAGTGCTTAAGCGAGATAATAATAGCATTGTCAATTTTGAGGTGGGGGAAATGTAGATTTAGAGGTTAGAAAGAAATAATTTTGAACCAGATTTTTTTTGAATTTCTAATGTAGTTCCACAAATATTGAAAAATAACTTGTGAAAATTTTATTTCCTTGTCCTGTAAAGGTTGTAGACCCTAGAAATGGAGAATAATTGCTTTTGTCTTTTTTAATTTCATGAATTCTGGAACCTTCAGTCTTACTAGGCAATAAAATACTTATTTTAAATTCAACTAATGCTATGCATATGTGATTTGGACAAGCATTTCTTCCAAAAATTGTTCAATTTAACTTTCTGTTAATAGCATTCATAAGTACAAGGGCTTTTGTGAAAGTAATGTCTCCCATTTTACCACAGTGGAGCAGTAAGCCAGAGACAGACGTTGGTAGTATGGCAGAATGAAGGCAGAAGTTCAAAGACTGAACCTTCCTGCCAATCCCCTGTTATGTTTTGTTGCTGTGTGACAGATGGCAGCAGAGGGACAGTCTTACGGAATGGTGTCTGACGTGGAAGTGTGTCCGAAACAAATGTGTGTAACTGAGCTCTTTCATGAGGAAAAGCTGGCACCCATTGATATTCATCGATGCTTCTTGAACATTTATAGAGACTAAACAGTGGATGTGAGCACAATGAGGCAATGAGTGTTGTATTTCAGTAGTGGTGACAGTAGTGTGAAAGACAAGCCACACTGCAGATGTCCATGCACAGCTGTCATACCATGAAATGAAAGGCATATCAATTGGGTCATCCACATGAATGAGTGGATTATGACCAGGGAATTGTGTATGGAGTCAAATATTGGTTTCAATGCATTGGCAGTGATGATGGCAATGTTGAAATATTGCAAAGCTTGTGCCACGTGGGCCCTGCAAGTACCTGGAACCAGAAAGAAGGCTATATGCAAGTTTGTCAGAACTGTTCAGCCAATACGAGGCTGAGGACGACTTTTTCCTGGACTGCATCATTAGCAGTTACAAGATGTGGTATCACTGCTACTAGTTGGAGTCAAAACAGCAGTCCATGGAGTGTTGACATGTCAATTCCCCATTGAAGAAAAAGAGATGGCTTTCAGCAGGTAAAGTGATGTGCACTGTCTTTTAGGATAGGAAATGGATGATCCTTCTGGATTTCCTGGAATCCCATCAAACCATCAGTTCTTACCACTACATCACTATGATGACAAGAGTCTCAAACATCCAGAATAAGACTAGAAAGAAAGGCAGCCTTTCTCTTGCATCAAAATAACGCCTGGCCCTGTGGAAGTTTGAAGACTGTGGAGCACTGCTAATCTTGGCTGGACTGTCCTACTGTCCTACCACACCCACTGTACAGCCCAGATTTTGCCTTCTGACTTACCCCTATTCAGGCTGATGAAAGATCAACTGTGTGGGCAGTATTTTCCTAGCAACAGCATTGTCATAGCACTGAAACAGTGAGTCACCTTTGCTGGTGTAGATTTTTACAAGTACGGTGTGCAGGCTCTTGTTTGTTGCTGGTAAAAAAGCATAACTAATGGTGGTGACTATGTTGAAAGATAGTGTTTTGTACTTTTTGATTTGATAACTTCTTTTATCAAATAATGCTACTGTGCTTTTTGCACTTGTTGTAGTTTCCATGGAAATAAATAAGAAACATTTCTTTTGGAGTTAACTATGTATCTTTGCAGATTTACGTGATTTCATCTACCAATTACATTATCCAATCAGCATGTAGAAAGAGGCCAGAATCACTAATGACAACATTTTTTAATGTATTTTTGCAGCTCTTCGAGATGCTGGTAAACAGTCTATCAATAGTGACTGGAAGATAGAACATTCAGGAACGTTCAATATTGCTGGGACCACTGTCCATTACGTTCGAAGAGGTCTCTGGGAGAAGATTTCTGCCAAAGGTCCCACAACTTCTCCCTTACATTTACTGGTATGACAATATTAATTTTGTGTTTTATTTAGCCTTTTTTTCTACGAGATGTTTTCTATCCTCCTGGCCCATTGGCTAAATTTGGCACAGTACTGCCATTTCAAGGTTGAAATTACCATATTTTCCATTCAGAAGTAGAGTTTTGATACAGTGTAGGGAGGAAAAGTTGGTAGCTAAATGACAAATCCAAAAGAGAAGATGAAGAAATGATGCAGAAATACTTCACAATTCAAAATTCCTTAATTGCAAGAAACTGTCTTGAATGTCTAAATAGTTTGAAATATCTCATACCTAGGGAAGGCATCATCTTTTTAAAAGCACAGAAAACATAATTTCCTGGATTTGTTATGAATTTTGTTTTGCTTTTATTTTTGCTTTTGTTTTTGTTTTTGCTTTTTTAAATTTAATGAATTATTTTACCTGGGGAACTTTTAGACCTTTATGTTAAATAAAAACATTTTTCCCATTATTCTGAGTTAGGTACCTCTAGTAATTTTTCCTGTCAAATCTATCAGAAAACTCTAAAGGCTACTGAATCTTAGAATCATAGAATCATAGAATGGCTTGGGTTGAAAAGGACTTCGAAGATCATTTAGTTCCAACCCCACTGCCATGGGCAAAGTCACCATTAGACCAGGCTGCCCAGAGCCACATCCAGCCTGGCCTTGAACGAATAAGTTATTCTGTCAAGGTCTTCAAGATTATTTCTTCAAAGATTCTGTTGTGTTCTCATCAGTGCCTGTCCTCATAGGAATGTTTTCCTCCTCTGTAATTTGCAGGTGCTGCTTTTCCATGACCAGAGCTATGGTCTACACTATGAGTACACAATCCCACTGGATCCTCCACCTGAGAATCAGAGCTCTAAAGTACCGGAACCTCTTTTCATGTGGACTCATTCTGGCTGGGAGGATTGTGATGCTGTATGTGGAGGAGGTAAAAAAAAACAAACAACAACAATGCAAACATTCAATGCATATGTATATACAGCATGCGTATATATATGTATTTACCCTGTATATATATACACACACACAAACTAGAACAAATGGTATATTAATATTTCAGACTCTGGTGGTCAGTGTAGTGCGTTTAATAGTAATGTGCCCATCGTAGCTGGTATGATTACATAGAATAGTCGACATATTTCTTTCTGTTCTTCCTGAATATATTAAAAGAATAATGATAACTATAATGATAATCTTAATGATAATCTAGTTAAGATTCAAACTAAATAAAGTAGGTAGAAAAAAATGATAGTGAAGGAACGAAATCTCAATTCAAGATGCAGTTTCTAAGAAGAAATACAAGTGTAAGAACAAGAACAAGAATAGAAGGTTCATGCGCATTCCACTCTGTATTTGGAACTACTTAAGATAAATGATCTGTAAAAGAAATTTCAAACATCAGAAGAGCTGAACCCCAATCTCAGATCAAATACATTAGTTACGTGAGTTGAGAATGGTCCAGAAACATACGGAACAAATATAGCAACAGCAGATATTAGTATGCTTATGTAATATTTTTCCTATGTTTATGTTTGTAAACTGTAAAAAATGTGAATTTGGAAGAACTAAAAGCCAATATGAGAACAAATATTGGAATATGAATGATATTACTGTAGCAAAATCCTTTTCAATCAGTAACTGTTCAGAAGCTGGTTATTAGAAAATGTGAGGGATTTTTTAATGAAGGCAACCCCGAGACCTTTTAATATGTTGTATAATTAATTTTTAAGACTTATACTGTGAATAATATATTAATTATTAATACCTGTCTTTCATGCTTTAATAATCATAGCTGCTCTGATCAGCAGTTGTGAAAACTGCTATGCATCTTGTAATGCAATAAGAAAGCCTGGAAACACTTTACCTTCTCATAACAGCAACACAAAGAACACAGTGTTCTAGCTACTTTGATTCTGCAAACAGTCCCAGTGTCACGACAGATTACTGTAGTTTCCATAAACATGCCTTTTGTGGTTTGGTAAGAAAGCTTCTTCCCTGAAGGCATTTTGTACGTGGTACTAGTATCATCCTCTGTTTCTTCATAGTGCGCTCATATTCACTTGGAATATTCGTTCTTTTTACAGTTTCCTGAAGTATTTTTAGAATAATTGGAATGCTACCACAATCTCTCATTATTCCTTCAGATATTTTTGAAGTTACCTATCAATTGGAAAAATCCTAAAATGCACTATGTTGGTGATTTTTTTCTACATTAATGCTTAAATAAATATTTAAGTGTTTTACTGTAATGTTTATTTTTATCATACTTTTCTCTGTTGTAATTGGCCATCACTTTTTATTATTGTTTGAAATAGTTGAGTTAATGCAAAGTTCCATGAAGGTTTTTTTTTTACTGCAAATATTCTGAAATGCATGTTAAAATTTTTTCCCACTTTAATTCTTCTTTTCATTTATTTCATTTAATATGAAGTAATAATGAAATAAAAATGATGCAGCTTGTATCTTGTGTAAATTTTTGTGCTTGAACTTTTATTATCAATATTTTCATGTACCCAATTAAAGAATATAAATATCAGTAGTTTTCCTTAAACGTTTAAAACCTCTGTCAGGATGAAAGTACTGATGAAGCAATGTGACTTTGTGCATTTTTACATATGTCACTGGTCTGCCACTTCTTGTGTTGCAGAAAAGCATTCTTAGTGTAGGCAAGAATATGGATGCAAAGTTGTATATGTAAATGAGGGAAAAAAGGGTCAAACGTTTTGAACACTGCATGTAATAGATAAGTTGTGTGTGCGCTACATATACAAAAACTGTGTAAAATGTCAGTTGTAGTCACATTGAAAATTATTATTTCTAACTTTGCTGCTTGGTCTGCAGGCACATTTCTAACCGCTAATAAATACTGCATTCTGCACTCACCATTTGTCAGTAAACTTCCAGAGGGAAACAGAAAGAAGTGGTTATGAGGTTATTTTCTACAAACTGAAGACTTTAATTAAGGGGCAGCTAGTTTTCTAAAAACTATATTCCACTCTGATTACAAGCTCATGCTTGTGTTAATTATTGCGTTCAATTCAGATTTCGTACCTGTTCAAGAGGATCAAGTGTCAGTCCATCTGTAAAGGCAGTGTTTACATTACAGAACATGCATTAGGTCTCCACCAGCAGTAAACAGCTTCCTAAATGGTTACACTGCAGATCAGACTGTATGGCCTTTTCTCTTTAGTGTACTCTCCTTTCTGAAGGCCTCAGCTGTGATTCCCTTTACCTGAGTGCTGGCCACACCTGCCAATATGCTACTAAACAGAGCAGAACTGCTAAAGTCAAGCAACGCAGGGAGGCAGGATTTGTTATTCCTTTCCTTTAACTTAACAAGCAAACACGTCTTTTTCCTGTGTGATTTTTCCACAATCTGTTCTCGACACTGAGGTCTTGGTTGAGGAGGAAGCAGTTACAGCAGTGAGATGTCGGGCTCAGAATATGACTTGTTGCAGGACTAAAACAACAATATTCTAATGACACTGGTACAAATATACCGGATAAAGAAAACGCATTCTTCCCTAAAAAGTTTAGTATCTCCCTTAGGCTCGCTGCTGTCTTTTTCACTTCTTTTTGCCAAACTGAACATAGAATAACTACATCTGATGTACAGATAAATTTCGCATTCCTTTTTAACAAAATTGTCTATTCTTGGTTTCTCTGCATACCTGCTTTATCTTCTACTAGGTGAAAGAAAAACAACAGTCTCTTGCACAAAGATTATGAACAAAAATATCAGTCATGTGGACAACAAGAAGTGCAAATATTTAACAAAACCTGAACCACAGATCCGAAAGTGCAATGAGCAGCCATGCCAGACCAGGTAACAGTGATTTGATTGTATCAGACTTGTATCTAAATGTAAAAATCTCAGGTGCATTTATTGCTTCTGGCAATCAATGTGCAGTAAAGCCACACTTCCCAGAAGTTAAACTGCAAAATATGGAGGACGCTGAGACATTTAATGTTGTTTATCTTAAGTCTGAATTAAAGAGAGCCCTTAAGCACAGGACTCAATCAGTTATCATTCAAGAAAGCAGCTTATTACTTTCTTTGGTAGAAGTTCTCACTGTGATGTTGAAAGTACAGTGAAATTGAAAGTAATTCAATTCAAAGCAAATGTAATGCAAAAACTGTTGAAGAAAGTGTGTAAAATGGACCAGCAGACATAGCTTTGTTGTAAATCATGAAATATTAAGATCAATAAAATACAACATGTGATACATCGTAAGTAAGACTAACTATTAACATCTGTGTTTCCATAGACAATTAAACAGTAGATAGATTTCTTTTAGTTATATGCATATTTGACCAGGTTAGCATTTTATTTTATTAATGACACTATACACTGAATTGATGGAAATGAAATAGTCTGCTATTCTTCTGAGGCACTGTATATCGCATTATTTAGACAGTCTGTGAATTGTAAATTGAGTCTTTAGACTACTAATAAAGAAAACTCAGTTAAATGTTCAGCTTTCTTACAATAAATGTCAGAATGTTGAAACAGATTTGTTAAACTTCAGTTTCCTAAAGATCTCCCTTGCAAATCTAACCTCCTGGGATAAACTCGTGTACTACATTAATGGCAGAATTTCTGATTTTTAACGGTATATGGCCAGTCTGAAGCCACAGAACATTCGGGGAAATGTATCTCCTAGAATGGTTACTTTACAGGCATATGGATTCTGCCAAACTGCATCATCGCCTTATTTGCTGTGATTTAAGCGAAGCAACTTGATTTACGCTTGATCCTAAAGAACATGAAAGAGTCTGAGCTCCTCTGGTTCCTTAAGAACAACACACAGGACTGATTCTGTTCTGAAATTGAGTCTTAAAAAAAAAATGATGGACGTAGGTGCAGGGCATACATTTGACATATAGGTAGCCATAGAGATAGAAAATACAAGGCTGATTAGTGGACTGTCATATTTGAAATGTGTAACACTATTTTGGAGCTTTTCTAATTGGACTTGCAATGACATGAGAGTACTCTGAAAACATGGAAACTGATGAAGTGAGCATTAACTTATTCATAGAATCACAGAATAGTATTCAAGTTTAAAATATGTTAGATTAGTAATTAGTCTGTTTAGAGCTAAATGTTAAATTGAAAGGAAGGAGAACATTTACAAGTGTATCCTGACTAAGAAATTATTGGTAAGCAAAAGATTAAGCGATATAATGGGACTTCTTCCATCCTTCCAAGATTTCTTCTTACTGTATTGCCTGTTTATTTCTTTGTAGATGGATGATGACTGAATGGACTCCATGTTCAAGGACATGTGGAAAAGGGACGCAAAACAGACAAATAGCCTGCACACAGCAGCTCAGAAATGGGACCTTGATCAGAGCAAGGGAGAGAGATTGTCTTGGGCCAAAGCCTGCTTCTGCACAGCGCTGTGAAGGCCAAGACTGCATGACTGTGTGGGAGGCGGGAGTCTGGTCTGAGGTGCCGCATTTACAGCTTATAAGCAGACACAATGATTATTCATTAGTATTTTCTGAGAGTGCAGGGCTTTTTTTGCTAGCAAAATGTGTTTCAGAATCCTCATGCAATGATTTAGAACCAGGACTAGGAAAACAAGCTTGGAAAACAAGTATAGAACTACTACATTTTACCTAGTTAACGTCCTGGAACAGTTTCTTTTGGCCTATTTTCAAGTGGATGTAATCAAGTACATCCTGACTGTAGTAATGGCTAACTAGTGGTACGCAGAATTAAGACAGCTGCCAGCTACAGAAATGTGGGTTCAGACTGTGAGTGTCTGAGAGGGAGGTTGATCCGACTGTAGCTTCCATTTTACTTCAGACACGCCGGGAGTGAAGCTGAAAAAAAAAAAAGGACATTATCTTCCTTTTTCCAAGAGCAGTACAAGCACTGAGCCAAAGGGCTTGTAAATAAGATAATTTTGGATCCATTTATCCTGAAGCATTAGTGCGGGCTGTATGTTCATTTGATTTTCTTCTTCTAAGAAGCTATACTAATTCTTATAGTACTTGACTGTGGAGGAAGAAGGGAGTTGTTATCACTGCTGTCTGGAAAAGCTGAAGGGGTTATTTAAAGCTGCTCCCTCCACTGGAAGAATACAGCAATTCTGAGCTGTGCTATGAGTCCCTTCAGGCTCAGAATAAGAATAGCAGCTTCTGAATGTGGGTATACAGCTTTGTTTGGGTTTCTGTGGTCAGCAGCACAGGGAATATTTTCAAATAGAAAAAGCATGTGCTAAGATAGAGGTAAGAGGAGTAATCATCAGCAGTTGTTGGTTTGATACAGACATTTATAATGCAAAAGTTGATTGCGGGAAGAGTCATGCATGCTTATAGTGGTGTGAGAAAGAAACCCATGTGGTTTAGTTGATTTGTTTCAGTTCAGAGATAATAAATAAGTACGTTTCTGCTGGAAGAAGTGTATTTTGAAGAGAGAGGTGTTTCCCGTAGACATTCCTACTATCACCATTGAACTGGAAGCCAGCCATTACTGCTTCCTGCAGTTGCAATTGGCTTGGCAAAGGAGAGTTTTGATCTACAAGCAGTGGGATGATCAAAAGCAGTGATAATGTTTTAAGAAGGAAATGGCATAATTTTTGGCAGAGTGGTAATAGCTGAAAAAAGCATAGATTAAGACCTTCTAGGGAACTCGAGGAGAGTTTTCACATGCTGTATATGCTGTGAATTTGAATTTTCAAATTCTGTCTGGATTCTTGCATTGGTTTAGAGTACTTGCTTTTACATTTTAACTTTTTTCTTCTTATAAAGGTGGAGTTTATTTGAAATTGATAACGTCTTGTACTTACAGTCTTCATTTAGTGTTTTTCATAATATTTCTTTTAATTATTCAAAGATTGCATTATATTTTTACTGCAACTTTCGTTTCATCAAATCTTTTCTAAATGTTTCCTTATCCCAACACAGCTTTTAAAGCTTAGTTTCTTAGTAAGCAAATTTTTTTTTATCAAATTACATATTTTCACATATAAATCTAAAAATGATCATTGTGCCTCATACAGAATTTCTGTTCATGTGTTAGTTTTTAGCAAATCGAGTATCTGTGCAAAGATTGAAAGTCAGGAAATCATTGAAGTCCTGAAGTATTTATAATAGCTTGGCAGAAGTCATTGGCAGAGGCCTTTTGTAGAAACCTGAAAAACATCTTTTTCCAACAGTGCTCTGTAAAGTGTGGTAAGGGAGTACGGCATCGGACTGTGAGGTGCACCAATCCCCGCAAGAAATGCGTTTTGTCCACAAGACCTAAAGAAGCAGAGGACTGTGAGGACTATTCCAAATGCTATGTCTGGAGAATGGGAGACTGGTCTAAGGTGAGACATCCTTGATTCTGCTGTCCCATAGCGTAATACATTCAAAGCTGAATTCTCTGTGTGGCTTTTATTAGAGATCTAGAACCCTCCCAGTTGTGAAAAAAATAATAATTAAAAAATAGTAAATAAAAAAAAATATTCAAAACATGAAGTCACAGTGTGACAAAGTGTAAAATAAAAGTCAGAAATGTGAATTAGTTGAATGTTCAATATTGTGCAAATGTGATATATATATTTACTGTTTCCAGTAGGCAGGCCAAACTGTCAGAAACATGAAGAGTGTGGAATATATCAAGTGTTCATATTTGCAAATATGCTATTATTTCTTTTCCAGAACTTCGAAAATTCTGATAACACTTGATTAAGCAAAGTAGCAGTTCTTTTGCCCGCGTCCTTTATTTTCTTTAGACTTGTTTTCTTGCTTGCGTCTCACTTGATGTCTTACTGAGACAATGTATCAAACACATTGAATACTGAGTTTGGCTCCCAGCAAGAAGTTCCTGAATGTCTGGATAGCAGCATACAGGCTATCAATTGGCATTGTGCACTGCATGGTTTGGTGAGGTACTCTCGTGTTTCTTCTCCGCTTCCATCACAGGCAGGCAGAGGCCTAATGTTTGTTGTTGCATGTCCTAATTCTGTCATGCATTTCTCATTGTAATGTGGAATTTGTTTTAAGGGTTGCTTAACAAAATGGTTCTGGGAAAATAATTGAATTTCCATTGCTAAACATTTAGAGTAATTTGCTTAGGTCATCCTACTGAGTCCCGTCTCAAAACTACCTCACAGTCTTTTTTTCCTAACCAGGGCAAGGTATTGTTTGCCATTTAGATGTAACCCAACTGTAAATAATTATAATAATTATACTCCAATTAAGATCATTTCAAAGACATTTTATCATGTTTGCAGAATTTTATTTGTCCACAATTCCAAGATGTACCTTTCAGCCTCATAAGGAAGCATGTTTAGCATAGTCAATTTCCAAGTACAACATTTAATAACTAGAAAGCAAGTATTACTGGATTTTTCTGAACACCTGATGTAACTACCAGTTATTTCCTTGGTATAGGAATTTTGATTTCAATGAAATACATACACGCAGGCCAAACAGTATCAGAAGACACTGGTTAGATCTGGGATTGAATGAATGTGTTTATTGGACTGGGAACCTGAACATCTGGTACGGTTTAAAATGTTCAAAACACAATGAAATTCTGGAAAAAAAAAAAAAAAGAAATAGTTGATAAGGTTGGTTACTGCCCTATCACAGACCGTGCTTTAGCAGAGATATTCTAATTTATTTATTTATTTATTTATTTTGCTTCTGTTCATAACCTTGCAAACATCTCTTCTGCTTTCAATGCATAACATTACTGCAAAAGCTTTTAAACTTGCTTGCATGGAGAAGTATTTAATGTATTTTTGGTTGTTTTTAATATGATGTAATAGCTGGAAACAAGGACTAAAGCCAGTAATGTATGACTGGCCAGCCTTCCAAGAATTAGCTTCAAGAACTGTATGGGTAATGAGTGTTTCACAGAATTCTACTTGTGAGCTCCCATTTTATGACTGTAGTGACTGTGGGGTACAAATTGTCACTATCATATTACTGCTTACTCAATTTTCTGGTCTTCTTTATGAGTTATTTTCAAATACTTGATTTTTTGGAATACCGTCATAGAAACTAGGATATAACCCCCTACCTTAGCTATTTCAGAAATACAAGTCAGTATAGCCATTAATTTTTAAGCAACAGCCAGAAGCAACTTATCTTCAGAAGCAGGGTTACTTTTATAAGAAGATATGTTTGGAAATAAGCCTAGTAGTTGCTTTTCCATACCACAGAATTGGAGAAAAAACTTGCATCATATAGCACTAGCATGAACAAGAAGTAGACTATGTAGAAATGATCACTTGCTTTCTTAGCTGAAGCAGTCATTCAAATCAGCATTGCTGAGGCTATGTGAGGATGCTCAGACAAGTTATGCTGTATTCCCAGTGCCCTCTGAAGAAAAAGAAGGGCTTTATTCTCCGATTCAGTACTTTTCACAAAAGCCTGTGTCATGGATTCATGTACAAGAATGTATTTCTTCCTGTTTAAAATTTACTGGCATTTCAAATGTTCTGCCCTCCTCCTGTCAAGATTTTAACAGTGTTACCTAAATTGTGCTTTAAACTTCAGGAACAGAATATGAGGGAATATTTTGTATGAAATGGTCAGAATCTTTTGAATGGTTAATAATAGAGCCTGAGTGTGACTTATGCAGCTGAGATTTTCTAGGATTTATACAAAAAGAATAGATACTTCAATTTCTCTGTGGAGACATGCGTTCAATTTAAAATATACTTGGATTTCCTTTTTTTTTTTTTTTTTTTTTTCTCCCCGTTACTATTCTGTTCCATTGCTAGAGTACATAGCAACATGAAGTCATGTCATACATATTAATATGTCTGCAATAGGGGAAACAAATGGAAAGCTCAAATAAATGTTAATCTTTGCTCACTGTTTGTTTCTAACTTACAGTTCAGTGTAGCCCTCTGTGTTCACTGTTTTTACTCTTCAGGATCATTCTTGACATTGACAGAAGGCTGTTCCTTTGAGCAAAGCCAAGTTCCCCCTAGCTAATGCCAAGACTTGGCTTGAAAAATTTAAATGACGCTTCTCACACATTGAAACAAGAGGCTTAATGTGATCCTTATTGGCTTTGCTACTTCTTTTGAACTCCTAAGGCATAATTTTAAATGAAGCTTAAACTGTACTATTACTGGAAAGATAACATTATTAATAACCATGGTTGTGTTGTAATGGAATTAATATTGTTTTAGAGGTACAGTCACATTGAGATCAAATAATTCTTTTGCTCAACATTTTAACAATAATAGCAAGATCAAAGAAAACTTGACTACAGGCTCTGATAAGTCAAAAAACACATAAATCCCTCTAAAATTCTGATTTAACTTATAAATATGCTGTATAACCTGAAATGTATGTATGCAGCATTAAACTCCTTAATAGCTCTTATTAGTCAGCAAGGTGGCTCAGTGTGCTAAAAATTTCTGTTCTCAACATCACTTGTACTCTGTGCCTGCCCTCATGAGTGTGCTGTGAAACTAAAGGCCCAAATTGAAGTGCTGGAGCCACTGTCTTGAAACATTATCAATTTCATTCTTTTCTCTGTGAATGCTGTCCATTGGATACAACGCTGAGCAAAACGAACGTTTTCTCCGGATGAAGAAAGCTTATCACATTTATTATAGACTTAAACAGAGCACAGTGTAGCTTGCCTGTGTTATGAGCAGTAACTTTTGCTAATAATTTGTCATCTAAGGATAAAGAAATAAGCAGGAGGGTAGACAAATGAAATGCATGTGCAGTGTTTGTTAACACGTCTAGATGACTTACTAGAGAAATTCACATCACTGTATGAGTAGTTACTTAAACGATGACAGTACAGAATACTCAAAGGTTGTGTTGAGGGAACTTTATGTTGGAAGTTATATATACACGCATATATTTTGCTATTATCTGGAATCTTCAGAACACTGGTAGAATAAATGAAGCATAAAAGGCAGATGAATTTTGGAAGGGAGGACAATTTGGGAGTAGAGTACATTTTGAAATTTATAAGAAAAATCTTAATTTTGATGTGATATTAAGCCAGAAACTTCTGGAGGCAGTGGTAATAGGATTGAAACAATGGGCAAGAGAATAGAATTTAGAACCAATTTAGAGCCACTTGCAGAAAGTGAAGGAATATAAGCGTATGTGTATAGGAGTCAAAGCATATAATATGACGTAAGTGCTAAGATAAGATTTTGTAGAGGAATCTGGAAAGAAAAGATGCACTCAGTAGGGGCTAAAGAGGAAGTGACAGCTAGATTTCTAAACAGTGCCTGTGTATTAGGCTGCAGAGAAACAGTCGTCAAATACAGAATCTGTCATAATGATTCACATGGTTGGGGTGTATTTTGCTTTGTCTGTTGGCTGAAGAAGTTAGAAGGGGGATCAAAGTTGGATCTGATAATTTTTTCTTGTAAAACTAAAGGACATCTGAAGCCACTGCACAGTTTACTTTTGCACTGTAAAAAGCCACTGGTTTTTACATCAGGAAATCTCCGAACTCATGTCCTGTTTAAAATTGTTTATTTAAGATAGTCTATACAATGCCCTCCAGGTAGTGGGTGAAAGGAAGATAATGTCTCCAGCTGTTGAGGGGAGACAGAATAAAACCAACAGTTGACTGAAAGATCTCTCGGTACAAAAAGCAGTTGTTAGTGACGATCATTGCTTTTCTTTTGTCCTGATCAAATAACACGTAATAATGTGAAAAAGGAAAAAAACAAATTCACTTTTTGCCAATTATTAAACCGAGTGAGATGTTCAACCTTTAAACTGTGTGCTGAAACACTTAAACAATCCCTAAATTTCCATAGCAAATAGCTGATTTGCTCTCCTTCAATTAAAAATACAGAATTTGATTATTATTAATGTTGTAGTTTCACTGACAAGGTTGTTAGCCTTGGTTTTATTCTTTAGATCCCAATCTGAAATTATTAGCTTTTTCTCAATCTAGGGATGGAACAGTATTGGCTGCAAGTCAAATATGACACTATTAATAGATTTATGTACAAAGAGAATATGTGAAACAATTGAAGTCAAAATAATTTTAGCATCATGTTAATAATGTTCATTTTGATCTAATTATACAGTAAGTTTCCAGCAGGTGACGTATGTCTTTGTTTCAGAAATGAAGTATGAGCAAATCTTACAGAAGATGTCAATATAATAAAATCAGAGTGGGGAGATTTTTGTTCTTTTCCAACCACTTCTGTGATATTAACTTGTTTTAGATAGATAGGATTTTGTAGATCAGTGAAGCAAACTGTATTTTGCCTAGAATAAATGAGCTGTCATGTTAGTTTCTAGAAAAACAAATGAAGACCACCCTTTGCAATAGCCAAAAACCGGATAAAACTGGAAAACGTTTTAAAAGTAGACA